ATTGACTTTCATTCTATTTAAATTCCTTTCTTAGATAGTATGAGATTTAATTATATAAATAATACTCCTCCGGTCCTAATTATAAGACCCAATTGACTTATTTGAGGAGATTAAGGAAGTAAGTTAAGTTGGTTATTTATAATAAATAAGTGTTGTTATTCCTAAAATATCCTTGCTAATTAAGTATATTGGCTAAAACTATCATTATTAAAAGGATTATCTTGGAAAAAATACATAAATATAAAAGAGAAAATGGATTGGGTCTTATAATTAGGACCAAATAAAAAGTCAAATTGGGTCTTATAATAAGGATCGGAGGAGTATAAATTAACGAAATGTGTAGAAAGTCTTTTGAAAAGCAGAAAGTGCTTTTGAAAGCACTTTTCTATCTTACCAAACACTCCCTAAGCCTACACTAAACGGATTGGTCCAAACCCATATGGGTTTAAATGGATACAGGTAGCACTTTTTTTGTTTTAAAAAACATGAACATCTATTGAACTCGGTAATAAATTGACTTTCATTCTATTTAAATTCCTTTCTTAGATAATATGAGATTTAATTGTATAAATAATACTCTTCCGGTTCTTAATATAGGACCCAATTCTTGAGTTGGTTTTGGTCCTAAATATAATACCCATTTTTCATATTTATCAATTTTCTCTTAATTACCCCTATGAATACTTCCTCAAGTATAATCAAGTAGAAGAGGGAGAGGAAGTATTATAAAAGATGTTTACGGTATTTTAGGAAAAATGTGTCACTTTTCTTATAATTAATTAACTTACCTAACTTTCTTAATCTAATCAAATTATTTAAATGGGTCTTATATTAAAGACCGGAGGAGTATAAATTAACGAAATGTGTAGAATGTCATATCTAAAATCATAGGCTGAAATTCTCAGCTAATAAGAGGGAACGCAAGTCACTAGTGAGAGTACCAAGTAAGGAATCCAAAGTTTGGGAGAGGGAAGAAGACAGCAAAAACAGACAAAAAAAAAGAAGTTCACCTAAACACTGTTTGCTAATGAATTAATTTGAAAATTTGATCATAGGGCAGCATGCATGTGATCCATTATTGGATTATTAAATTAAAAAATATTAGTAAAAATATAATATAAATATATATTTTTAAAAAAAAGACAACTAATTCCTGATCATTACGGGTCTCATCACATGCTCCCAATCAATTTTCTAAATAATGTTCCATCACATCTCATTACACTACAAACAGACATGACAGTCCAATGGAATCATCTGCATTATCAAACTTCACATCACTAAATTAACGCAATAATGTCCAAAAATTCTCTGTATTTTCACATCTCATGGCTTTATTAGTCTCTTGCTAGTTAATTACTTTTCAATCACCTCTTAAAATGTCAAAAAAAGGTTTTGGTTAAATTCAAATACTAAAAAATAAATAAGCAAAAAAATTTTTTGGATTGTCCAGAGTATCCTTCCACCCAAACGGTGAGAGACTAATCTCTTGAGATATTATCAAGCGCCGTAGCTGAGACCTCTCCCAATAGTATTTGTTTCATACATAAGCAAAATTGATCATAACTATTCAATCACTCACAGTAAACATCCCAAATATGCACAATCGAATTTCGGAGAAATTAAAAAAATTTCATCAAAAATTTTATTAGTGAGAAGGACCTGTTAATTTTTAAATGTAGAAAGTATCAGTACTTTGCAAATTTTGTCTGTTCAAAATATCAATATTCTAATTTTAAGTCATTCCCTCATCTGCACAATTTCGGATGAGACACTTTTTCTCAAATTTCCCTAAAATTTTTACTTCATCTCCATTGAAAAATTATGGGTTAATTAATTTGGAAGTCCTTATAGTTTTAACCAATTTTGAATTAGATCCTTATAGTTTTTTTTCTTTTTATCAGGTCCTTATACTTTCATCTATTTTTAATTAGGTCCTCACATTTATTTTTCTTTTTATTAAGTCCTTATAATTTCACTAAAATTTTAATTAGGTCCATCTAGTTTTAATTTTTATTTATTAATTAAATATGAACTTAATTAAATAAATTAGTACTGAAATATAAAATATTAATAATTATATAATAAAAGATAAGTAATATAATTAATTAATTAAGGAAATTTTTTTAAAACAATTAATTTTTTTTGCTAAAAAAATAAAATTATTATAATAATTCATTATTTTTAGAATATTATTGTTTATAAACTAATATTATATAATATATACTATTTTATGTTTATAAAATAGTACTATTAGACTTTATAAAATAAAGAATAAAAAATTCAGGGACTTACTTAAAAATAAGGTGATCTTATAAGGACTTGATAAAAAGAAAAATAAATGCAAGGACCTAATTAAAAACAGGTGAAAGTATAAGGATCTGATAAAAAGAAAAAAAATTATAGGGACCTGATTTAAAATTGGTTGAAACTATAAGGACTTGCAGATTAATTATCCCAAAAATTATTACATAGTTGTTTCAAAATAAATCTATAAAAAAAATATATTATTCACACAATGCTATATGAGAAATCTGCCGAGTTAATAAGCTACGAATTTAACACTAAAAAAAAAAAGCTACAAATTTACAATTGTGAATCCAGCTAGAAGCCAGCGTGAAGCTGGAAATCCAAAAATGACGGCAAAAAGTTTCAATCATGGGAATCTGTTTGGAAAGACGAAAGGGGGAAAAAGAAAAAGAGAGAGGATCTTTTGTGCCTTTCATGGATAAACACAAACACAAAAAGGCAACCTGAATTATTACAACTAGCTAGGAAAATCTACAGTAGAATCAATCACCCAAAAGCAAATTAAAAGATTCCCAGAGAGCCAGTAAAACCATTACCAGGGAAGTCCATCATATATATTATACATGTAAAAAAAAAACATATCATATGTAATTATTAAGAAAAATAATGACAAAGAAGTAATTAATTATAACACATAGCAAAGAGATTATCAGAAGAATAATAATCAATTTAACCAGAAATTGAATAATAATGAGCCACATGGTGATTCTGCAAAATGCAAGTGTCAGACTCTGCATACAATAATAAACCAGTAAGCTAGAGAACCTGCAAGAGCAGCGGCCATGGCTGCTGCAGAAGAAGCTAGGGTTACTGCAGCAGGAGCCTGAGAATCGGGCTGAACCGGGCCGAATGGTGAGAGTGCAGAGAGTGGACCGGGAGCAGCAGTGAGATCATCGTCCGGGTTGGGAGGGCTCGGGCTTGAGGGAATGGTGGGGATGTCTGAACCGGTTGGAGTGGGCAAAACACCACCTGGGGAAGGCAGCAGAGGAGCAATGTCTGGTGATAGTTCTCTGAAAGGAGAAGAGGAAGAAGAGGGAGAGAGGAGAGAGAAGCTGATGAGGATGAAGGATATGAAGAGAAGAGGTTGATGAAGATGATGATGATGATAATGATGAAGGAGAAGATGATGAACAGTGAGTGAAGCCATTTTGCCAATGATGAACAAATCAAGAATGTGAAAGACACCTTATGAGAGGCTTGGGGTGCTGAGTGGAGTTATGATTGCCTCCCCCTCAAAATACCAAGCAGATATGTATATATATGGATTTTTTTTATAAAAAAAACATTTGCATATGACATCACTAATAAAAGTCATTTTAAGTAATTAATAAACTGTTGGTTGAAATAATAAATGGTTAATACTGTAAAGAAGAGACTACAACCTTAAATCTCATGAAATTTTCATGCCATTAGACTATGAAATCATTAACTTATAAAAAGGCAGGTATTATTGATACCTTAATGTCATGAGTAGAATTGAACTTGTAATTTTTTATTTACTGAAAAATTTTCATAGCACTAAATCACAATAGCATTGATATGTCATTAAGATTTGAACCGGATACAATGTTTGAGAGGCTTTTTGAGTCTTATTATTATAGTTTATATATATGAAAAAAATGATTGTCCTGCAGGTAATTTTATAATGACGAGGGGGAGAGGGGAAAAGCTGAAGTGCTTTATAATTTAAGGGAAATGACGTTATATACATAAAATTGGGGGGAAAATGAACGTGAAAGAATGGTGAAAAAAATAATGGAGAGTAGGTGGGGGTCAAAGGAAGCACCACGTGGCTGGTGTGTATTGGATGGTGACAAGAGAATAGAGTTTGTAATTGTTTGTTTGGGTGAAGTGGCAGAGGGTATAAGTGGGTCATATGGTTTCATGTGATATGTTTTGTTTGGTATGAGATAATTGATGCCTCTTTGGTTTTGGAGCCTCTCCTAATCCTACACTCCTTTAATTGGGGAACCTATAGCCTTTTGAATTTGAACATTCCTATGGGGACAATTCTGCCCTTGGCATCATAATTCAATGTGTAACCCTAGAGGTTATTTATTTATTTATTTATTGACCATATATATCTTTCTAACCAACAAAAAAAAAAGTCTAATTGATATAAGATTGGCCCATATTCCATAATCTAGGGGAAGGATCTAATTAGATTATCAATGGTTCAGATTTTAATTTTTATAAATTATTTATGAAATTTTTTTCAAAATATTTAATGCATTTACAAACCATTATAATTGAATTTTAATAGAGTTTACAATTTATTGTTTATTTATTTTTATAATTTAATATTTTAATAATAGTTTTAAAAAGATTCAAATCTCAACCGTTAAAATATTAATCCAGTGATTAAAAAAAAAAAAAAAGAGAATGGGAAGGGGAGAAGAGAGGTTTCAAACTAATTAATATTGATCTTATTGATGAAATTAATTGCGCATCAGTTCATCATAATCAGGATATTTATTACCATAGGTTAAACTTAAAAGTAACGAAGATGAAGAGGTAAGATCAATCTTTCAAGTTCCAATATTTCATGCTCCTTGGAAATCATGCATGTAAGTTTTGACAAATATGGTTACTGCAAATGCCGTTGAAGCATTATTATTTTCTGAGTACCTATACAAAATCTTTATGATGCATGAATCGTGATTATATATCAATTTTAAGTTCAAAAGAAATTATATGACTATTTTAGCAAATTGGGTCTTAGTTCGAGCAATATCATGCTTCCTCCAAATCGGTATGTGTATGTCTATGCGTCCGTATGCATAGATACAAGCGTAGATGTTTACTCATTTCTTTGCAAAACAAGCTACTCCCGTCGGTGCCCAAATCCAAAGGAAACATTTTAGGAAAAGTTAAACATAACGAACTCGTTTCTTTGCAAGCTTACTGAAGCACCCGATTTCTGTAGCGATGTCAAGTTTCTGCTTTGCATCTAATGTTCTGGAGCACACTGTTACAGAGTTGGTTTCCCCGTCAGGTACTGTTATATGGAGAATTAAGGCCAAAGTTTGTGACTGTGAATGAAGAATGTACTCGATTTTGTCATGCGTTCTGATCTGCTGTTCAAGACTACGTCTATGGTGGTGGGCTTAGCCCGGAGTGGAAGAATCCCTCATGCACGCAGACTGTTTGACGAAATGCCACATAGAGACTCTGTTGCTTGGAATGCCATGATAAGTGGATACTCTCGTTTGGGACTTTACCACGAAGCTTTGTCTCTCTTCGGTGACATGAGAGTCTCCCTCTTTAGACCCGATAACTTCTCATTCTCTGCAACGCTGAATGCGTGTGCAGGTGCTCGCCATCTTCAAACTGGAACAATAATTCATGCTTTAATTGTTGTTTCAGGGTACTTATGTTATCTTCCAGTGTGTAATTCGCTGGTTGATATGTATGGGAAGTGTTCGAGTCCTGACGATGCAAGAAAAGTTTTTTATGAGATGGATTGTAGGAATGAAGTGACATGGTGTTCACTTCTGTTTGCATATGCAAATTCTGGTCTATTCAGCATGGCCAGTGAACTGTTTCATAGGATGCCTGTAAGGGTTGAAATTGCTTGGAATATAATGATTGTAGGATATGCTCAGGTTGGAAAAGTTGAAGCATGCCTGCATATGTTTAAAGAAATGTGTGAGAGTTTGTATCATCCTGACCAATGTACATTCAGTGCTCTCATGAACGCTTGTGCTGGTTCATCAGATACTTTATATGGATGCATGATTCATAGTTTCATTATCAAATCTGGTTGGACCTCTGCTGTGGAGGTAAATAACTCAATTTTAAGTTTTTACTCTAAATTAGGTTGTCATGATGATGCTATTACAGTATTTGAATCCTTTGACATTGGTGCTTTTAATCAAGTGTCCTGGAATGCCATCATCGATGCCCATATGAAAATGGGCAATACCCAGGAAGCTGTTCTTGCTTTCCAGAAAGCTCCCGAGAAGAATATTGTTTCCTGGACTTCTATGATTGCAGGTTATACGAGAAACGGTAATGGGGAACAAGCTCTTCATATGTTTGTAGACATGGTGAGAGACTCAATCCAGCTTGATGATCTAGTAGCTGGAGCAGTCCTACATGCCTGTGCTAGCTTAGCAATGCTTGAACATGGGAAAATGGTCCATAGTTGCATAATTCGATCCGGCTCACACAACTACGTCTATGTCGGAAACAGCCTGGTTAACATGTATGCTAAATGTGGGGACTTGGAAAGTTCAAGGCTTGCATTTCATAGTATTATTGAGAAGGATCTGATTTCATGGAACACAATGTTGTTTGCACTGGGACTCCATGGGAGAGCTAGTGAAGCTCTTTACAGTTACCATGAAATGGTAACATCTGGTGTAAAACCAGATGAAGTAACCTTCATAGGGATTCTAATGACTTGCAGCCACGCGGGGCTTATATACCAAGGCCTCAAGTTTTTTGAATCAATGAGATTAGATTATGGGCTCTCTCATGGAACAGATCACGTAGCTTGCATAGTAGACATGCTTGGAAGAAGTGGGTACGTCGCAGAAGCCAGAAAAATTGCCGCTAAGTATTCAAAAACCATCACAGATAGGACCAACTCACAGGAAATTCTACTTGGTGCTTGTTATTTTCATGGAGATATAGGAACTGGGAGTACTGTGGGAGAAGACTTGAAGAAGTTAGAGCCATTAAAAGAAGCTGCTTATGTGTTATTGTCAAATTTGTATCTTGCAAGTGGGAAATGGAAGGAAGCAGAGAGGTTGAGGAAAGAAATGGTGGATCAAAGAGTGAAGAAAGTGCCTGGAAGTAGTTGGATTGAAGTGAAAAATGATGTCGCTGCTTTTGTTTCTGGAAACAACAATTCACATCCTCAAATGGGTAACATATATGAGACAGTTTGCCTTCTCGAATTAGAAATGAGACATCCTTGGCCTGTTCACTTTTTTTATTGAAGATTCTTTTATGAAGAATATTGGATGTGATAAGACAATGATAGAAAACTAACAAACTTGTCAGAGCTATAATACCAAATTAACAAATTTGTCAGTCGCCAGAAACTAAATTATTATTATTATTGTTAATTTATTCTTGAAACAACAATTGCAAGTTACAATAATGTTTTGTCAAATGTGACAACTAAACAAATGGTGTTGGAAACTTAATAATTAATACTCGGATAAAATCCAAAGCAATAACTTTTTTCGTATAACCAATTAGAACTCTGTTATCAAAATAGATTTGAACTCCATCCCCCCTAAAGAGGGAAAACTTGCCTTTAAGGTAATTAATTAATTTTTATACAAAAAAAATAAAATCACATTATTTCAAAGTTATAAAAAATATATCACATATCTTTTTGTTAAATATAAAATAGTATGACTTCTTAAATGCCATTTTTATGCGGTAAAAACTTATCATATGGCTAATACCCACTTTAATGGAGAATGAGATTTGTTTGTTTGGCAAATCTCTGTCATCACTTGAAAAAGGTTGTTATGTGACAAAACTCTTCGTATATTGAAGTTATACAAGATAAAATCACTCAAAATAAACCAAATTAGCTGAATCGGTGAAAATTCACCAATAAATGTGTGTATTTGTGGATAAGTAAGGCCGCCACCAGGGATCAATTGGGATAAATGCTTTCTGGCCAAAAAAAAAAAAGATTTGTATCTTAATCTATCAAGTCAACCAGTATTTTGTCTGTCACTTGCAGCACTCAGTATTCCCTCCCCCTCTACGATGTGTGCGCCGCTCCTCCCACCTCCAATGTTCCCCAGGTCCGTACAATTCATATTCTCTCTCGCTTGCGCTCCTAGAGTCGCTTCAGTTATTTGGGATTTCTCAGTGAATTGTTTTTAGGGTTTATCAATTTTTTTTCCGTTGAAAAAAGAGTACCCCATACGTAAATTCATATTGCTAATGCAGCCCTTCCTCTGCGAGAGGTAATTAATGTTCGGCTTGTGCTCGTTCCTTCATTATGATGATATAATTTCAGTTGTTTACTTATTTTTCAAATATATTGATTTGATGTTCGTAAATTCTGGTATCTTCTTTCTTCTGCCGTTTATTTGGGATGTAAAAAATGATTTTCCCCCCTGTAATTTGAATATTGTTTTATTGGGGTTATTTCTGATCAATGTATTGCCATACGCTGCTTATAATTTCTATGTCGGTTTGGATATTGAATGCGGTGATCGGGTATTGCGATGTGATTATTTGGAAGTGATAAGGGGGGAGGGTGGCAAATGAAGTTATTATTTTGTTTGATAGCAACCAGCAATTGATTATAAGCTTTGGCTACCTCTAGCTATCCAATCAAAGGCTCGAGGGTGTGTTTCTTGATGTTGTAGACTTTAAAATGGTCGTTACGCTGTTGTTTCTTGTGTAGTGGATTTCGCTCATGTTTTCTATGCATTTGTTATATGCTTTAGAGTTTGTGATTGCTTAAAACTGTTGAGAGTTATTTTTTTTCGCTGATCTATCTCCCCTCCACCCCTTTCCCTGAAGTGGTGGGAGAGGGGGCAAGGTGTTGTTCATTGCAAACTCTGCAGTTGTGCTGCTAATGTGGTGATCTGAAGGGCTCAATCTATATATTGATGCAAACTCTTGCATTTGGAATAGTGTTTGTTTATTGATATAACTGTGTCATTTACATTCTCTTATGATTTTGGCAAGTGCAGGATGTAATAGCTGCAGGCTACACTGAGTCTGCATGCTCAATCTGAATGTGAGCATTGTACATCTTGGGGGACTGATGGGGATCTAAGTTATAGGTGCACCCTGCTTTTTAATCTGTACAAGTTTTTCCCAGAGCAATTGCTAATTAAATGCAGCTCTTTTGTCAATGCACTTGATCTGAGCACTCACTGTTAGGTTTCAGAATCTTGATTTCTGATGGACTGCAATAGAGAAGAGGCCGTAAGGGCTAAGAATGTTGCAGAAAAGAAGATGGAAAACAAAGATTTCACAGGGGCCCGTAAAATTGCTATTAAGGCTCAGCAACTATTTCCTGATCTGGAGAATATAGCTCAGATGCTTATTGTTTGTGATGTTCATTGCTCCGCAGAGAAGAAATTTTGCAATGAAAAGGACTGGTACGGAATTCTTCAAGTAGAGCAGACAGCTGATGAAGCAACAATAAGGAAGCAATACAGGAAGTTCGCTCTCCTACTTCATCCTGATAAAAACAAGTTTGCTGGTGCTGAAGCCGCATTTAAGCTGATAGGGGAAGCTCAGGCAGTGCTTTTGGACAGGCAGAAACGAGCTGCACATGACAGAAGCAGAACTTCATATTGTGCACCACGGAATATTTTTGTGAATGTTGATACTGGGGTGCAAACCCATAATAGGGCCAATTTCACAGACTTGAATCCTCAGCAGGGGTTTAATAATGGCTCCTCTACATTTTGGACTGTTTGCCCATTCTGTTCTATTAGATTTCAATATTACTTAGAAGTTCTAAATCGATCTCTGCGTTGTCAAAGTTGCAACAGGCCCTTTGTCGCTTATGACATAAGTATGCAAGGTACAGTTCCACCAGCCCATTCAAGTCCGCATCCTTTTGTGCAGCCACAAGATGGTCCGAATCATCATTCGGTTAAGGTGGATGTTGGATCTCAAGGTAAATCACATGGTAGAAATGTCAATGCAAAGCCTTTTGATAAGAAATTCCCAACGTCCCGTGTATCTAGAAAGCTTAATAGAAAACGGCAGAGGGAGCAAGTAGTGGAAATTAGTGAAAGTTCTGATTCCGTACACAGCTCTGATTCTGAGAGTGGTATGGCTTCTGATGATATCATTTCTGATGAGGATGGCATTACTAATGAACGAAACCATGCCACTTTTAGAGAAGAAAATCCTCGCAGATCTTCACGGAAAAAACAGCAGGTTTCTTACAAGGAAAATGTGAGTGATGGTGACGATGATGGCATAAATGTTTCAAAAAGGGTGAACGGTTTGGCTGATGATCTAGAATATCGCAAGAAAGGGTTAAAGCAGAAGCAGAAGCGGAAGCATGGTCTTTATCCTGAAGACATATTACTGAATAGAAAGGAGGAGACTAAGGAGGTGTTGGGAAAAGCAGTGCAAGGTTCAAAGACGGCTGCTGAAGTTAATGAGCATTGTGTCCCCAATTCAGCCTGCAATATAACAGAGCAGCCTAATATTATAGTCTGTCCTGATGCAGAGTTTAATGACTTTGACAAGGACAAGCAGAAAGATTGTTTTGCAGTTGGGCAGGTTTGGGCTGTTTATGATACAAATGATGGCATGCCTAGATTCTATGCTCTAATTAAGAAAGTTTTCTCCTCTGGGTTCAAGCTGCGGATAACATGGTTTGAACCAGAACCGAGTAATGAGGATGAAATTAATTGGGTAAACAAGCAATTGCCGGTTGCCTGTGGAAAGTATGGGCTTAGACACTCCGAAACCACAGAAGATCATCCCATGTTTTCTCATCGAGTTCTGTGTGAAAAAATTGGAAGTAATGCTTTTGAAGTTTATCCTAGAAAGGGAGAAACCTGGGCTCTCTATAAAAATTGGGATATCAAATGGTATATGGACGTGGAATCTCATCCAAAGTATGACTTTGAGTTCGTTGAAATATTGACGGACTATGTTGAAGGTGAGGGTGTATTTATTGCATACTTGGCTAAATTGAAAGGCTTCGTGAGTCTCTTCTCTAGAATTATGAAGGAAGGCGCCTACCCAATCAAAATTCCCTCAGCAGAGTTATTCAGATTCTCTCACAGGGTTCCGTCTTTTAAGATGACTGGTCAGGAAAGAGTAGGTGTTCCTGTAGGATCTTGGGAACTTGATCCTGCGTCTTTGCCTTCGCCTTTGAACCTCGAAGAGGTTGCTGTTCCCATTGATTTGGAAGTGAAGGATGGTCATTCCCCATCCAGTGGTGTGAGTAGAAGATCTTCAGAGAGATTGAAGCCCATGGTGGCACCTGATAGGAATTTACATGCTTTCCGGGATAATTTTGAAACAAGCAATTTGGCGAAGAACAATGGTTCAGTTAACTTTGTTGAAGATAGTAGTGCTCCTCTGTCTTCGACCCCAGAAGCTATGGAAATTCCTGATCCTCAGTTCTACAATTTTGACGATGGGAAGGCCCCGGAGAAGTTTCATGTTGGTCAGATTTGGGCATTTTATAGTGATGAAGATGGCCTGCCAAGGTACTATGGTGAGATTGTGGAAATCAAGAGGAGCCCTGGTTTTGAATTGCATATTATGTGGCTTGCTTCCTGCTGGCTGCCAGATAACACTATTAGATGGGAAGACAAAGACATGCTTATATCTTGTGGCAGGTTCAAAAGTAGAAATGGGAATACAAATGTTTATACGAACACCCTCTCCCTTTCACATCTGGTACGGGTCAATTTTGACAGAAAGGACAATGAATATTCCATCTTTCCAAGGAAAGGTGAAGTTTGGGCATTATATAGGAAATGGACGCCTAAAATCAAATGCTCCGATCTGGTAAACTGGGAGTATGACATAGTGGAAATTATTGAGGAAAATGCCTCTTGGATTGAAGTTTTAGTCATGGAGATCGTTAGTGGATATAATTCAGTTTTCAAGCCGAAAACATTTGAAGGATCACCCATCACTATGAGAGTACCCCAGGCACAGTTGCTCAGGTTCTCCCACCAAATCCCAGAATTCAAACTTACAGAGAAGCATGGCAGTCTGAAGGGCTTCTGGGAGCTTGATCCAGGAGCTGTACCCGTTCACTTTTGGACTTCCCAGTAAGTAGGTTGATTGATTTACTGCGACCAACGAGCAAAAATCTCAAACTTCTTGGTATACCCGGACTCAACACCTTTTTGTAATTAGACAGATTAATACAATATCTTTGTCTATTCAGTGGTATCTCCTGTAAAAATTGTATTTAATTTATTCTGGCAACACTTGAAATGTTAACATTTTGTTATTACTCTAACTGCTTTCTTTAATGAAGTTTGTTTTGCCGGATCTTTGCTGCTTTTTTAAGTTTCTGCACCCATCCATATCCAGCTTTCTAGAGTGACTTTGGATGTAGATGTACATTGTTATTCATGCTCTTTAGGATCTGCCATGTTACAACAATATAGGAAAGGGTATTCATGCTGCTCAAGACACTTGTGCTTGGAATGGCCATTGGAAGTTGTCTTCAGAATAATACTAGTTTATTGTGAGTAAAACGAGACTATTAAAAATGGTTTTTTGGTTTTGGGGGGGGGGGGTGTTGGGGTGATATTAGATGATTTTCTAAATCACATTATCATTTGATATCTTGTTATTAAGACACTTGTTGTCTTGGGTGAGCTACCCAATATAAGCGTGTAGAAGTCAGGATTACATATTTGTTATTCCAGGACAAATACAATTGCATCTACTTACACATACATGGCCGCCCAATATATCAGAATTCAACTTGTCTGCTTCTTGAGAGCTAAATTTCATATAAATCAACACATCTTCTACGCCTACAGTTTGTGAGATTCCACACAATGAGGTTTCACGATTTCGAGGCGATTGATAGGTTTTTAGTTTCCTTTTTAATTTTTGAAAATATAACTTTTGGTAGGCGGCCAAAATGGGGTAATATCCTAAGGAAAAATTAGAGAGAATGACCAAGGAAAGTTATATTTGTTATAAAAGATCTTAAAGATTGTAATTATTTAAAAGGCCGTAAACAAAAATGTAAATATGCAAACACTGTTATGAATATAATAATACCTTTGTGAATATTTATATCTCTCATTATCTTCAACATATCTCATTATCCTTATATCTCACAATTATCTCTTTATTATGTAATCTTATATTTTGTCAAAAATGTAAAGCGATGCCTATAAATAAAAGTCATATATCATATATTTAGCACTTTTAAATTGAATGAGAAATACTCATATCTTCTATTTTTTTCTTATTCTCTTCTCTTATTATCTACTCATTCTTTAGTTTTATAATGAACCAATTGTCCCCGGATTAAATCACCTACATTTTCACTAATCATACCTTAATATTTGACAGTTCCATTAACATCTACACTGTTTTTATTTATCGGAAACAAACAAACGCACTCAAAGTTTTCAACCGACAATAAAGTCTTTTTTGAGCCACTAAGATGTCAGTGAAAATGTTGATAAAAACATTGAAACAGACAAAGTTATGCAAATTTTACAAAATAATAAATAATAGATTTTTTATTATTTTAATCAAAATTAAAATATTAAAATTATTTTTCTATAAATTTTTATGAAAAATTTTAAATTTTAATATAATTTGTTTTTGAAACACCAAACCACTCTAATTTAAAGTTATAGAAAAAATAAAATTAGATTCGTATATAAAATTTAGCTTTTTGTAAATAGAAATTAGAACATAGACTAATTAATTTTCGGTAATCAAATTTAAGTGAACGTTATTATATATAATTATATATGTACTAATATTAATTATAATGTATAAATTGAATAAAATATAAAAATTGATGATAATAGAGTGCTCCTTTATTTTTTAGCTACTAATTGTCAAGTAATTGAGATGTGTTCAGAGGGAGTATAAGGAAATTTATTAGGGATAGTTTAGGATTAGTATATTATATTTTAGTTTTTGGTCTTTCTAAGTTATTAGGATTTTTAAGATCCTCCATAATAAATATTATTCCTTTCAGGTTCTCTATTCTAATTTTCTCTATTTCTAATGCGATTCTGTCCCTTCACAATCCAAAAATTTTTGTTTGATATTCATATTTTGATAGATCGCAACATAAAATTCAAAATCCGCTTTAAGATAATCTAAGTTTTCATTAGGAGAAATAAATGAAATGTACTATAATTATGTGCGGATAGCCAAAGCACGGAGGGCATTTGGTCTAGTGGTATGATTCTCGCTTTGGGTGCGAGAGGTCCCGAGTTCGATTCTCGGAATGCCCCTTTCATTTTGTTTCTCTTTTCTAAAATTGTATTTTTGTCTGGTTAAATT